AAGTTAGGTGTAACACTTACTTTAGAGGAAGAGATGGGTCGGCATACGGGGATGGAGGCTGGTTCCGAGGCAGAGGGCAGATTACTGGCCCTTAGGTGAATCACCATTACAAGGTGCATCACTATCAGTTACAGTTGTCAGGGCTTCCCTGACAAATCCCTCAAAGTCACCTTCACTGTCACTGGCTCTGGCTGGCAGTGGTGGGTTGCGGGCGAAGAACTCGGTAATGCTTTTTTGACGGCTAGTGTTGATGTTGTCTTGATACACCTTGATGTACGGCTCCATAGCCTGCACCAGCCGGGTATGGAAGACTTCATAGCGGTCATCGTCATTGTCGTTGGAAAGGAAGAGCTTCAATTCTTCTGCACACTCGATGGCACCCTTAATATGACTATGCGTTAACTTGTGTTCTTTGGAGATTGAACCACCATCTTCCTCTTCACTGACGTGATCATCTTCCAACATCTCGTCGGCAGTCATTTCAGGATCTCTGATCTCCTCCATGATGTCTTCGTTGGTTGTGTCGGAGAAGCCTTCAGCTGTAATACTGTGCGCAGCTTCTCTGGCAAGGTCCACTGCTACTGCAACAGTCTGAACCTCACCAGTCACAGGTTGACTCCTCCTCTCACCTGGTATGCCATGCAACACATGCCTCCATGCGTGATGAATCGTAGCAATAGACAGCTGATCCCATGCCTCCACCAAGAAATCTACAGCTTGTTTGACGTTAAATTTCTTCCAAAACTGTTTGACGAGAACTTCTTGAGTCACCACCTCTTGTTCCTTGTCCTCGTCGCTTTTACTCTCGCTGTCGGTGTCACCCAGCTTACGCAACTCATCCTTGGTGTTGGTAGAGTCGTTCAGGAGCTTGAATTTCTTTGCCGAGTATGCAGCTTTAACATTGCAGATTAACTCCTGTTCCATGGGCTGGATTAATGACGTAGTGTTGGGAGGAAGGAAGACCACTTTTACGTTGGGGTGACGATCCATAAGTAGGGGCGAGTGTCCTGGTGCGTTGTCAAGGAGCAACAAAATGTTGAATGGAACATTCTGTTGCTCGCAGAATTTCTTGACGTCTGGAACGAAACAGTAGTCAAACCAGGAGAGGGACAGAGCAGAGAACATCCATGCCTTACGTGCGGTTAGCCAGTGGACATTAAGCTTGTTCATGTCCATATTCTTGTAGGCGTGCGGCGTGCGGGCTGTGTGAATCACCGATAACTTTGGTTTACAGGTACCGGAGGCATTGGTGGTAAAGAGGACGGTGATGCGCTCCTTCTGCAACTTCCGACGCCGAACCTTGCTGGCAGACTGGACAACGAAGGTCTTGGTAGGCAGCTTTTTCCAAAAAAGGCCGGATTCGTCCATGTTGAACACCTGGTCGTCAGTGAACTGCCCTTCCTCCATAACCTCACGTAAGAACGGAGGAAAATCTCTAGCAACCACACGGTCAGCATTCGCTTCTTCACCACCAATGTTGATGTTGGTGATTTTGTTCCTCTTCTTAAACCTATGCAGCCAACCAGAGGAAGCATTGAAGGGTTTGGGCTCTGCAATTCCCATCTTACGTGACACTGCTGCGTACAGTTCACGTGCGTACTCTTGAACGGATCTCGTGTCCACCGACATGTTGCGTCACGCCTGACGAATCAAGTAACTCACCAGCAAATTTTCCACCTTTAGCAGCACCTTGTTCTGGGAATACTTCATCATTGAAGCACCTGCAGACTTTGTGATTGTCATGGGCTCTTTGGTCTTGGCTGCATCTTTCTTAATAGCACGAATCGTAGATTTGTTCACTCCATGCTGGCGCACGAGATCAGCTTGACGTGTTCCTTTCTCCAAATCTTGAACGATCTGGTATTTCACTTCGTAGCTTAAGGAATGTCGTGTCTTCTTTGGCTTAGGGCGGCTGGGTCCAGGTAAGGAAAGGTTTCTCTCTGGTGGCGGTGGTGGTCCGGCGGAAGCCATTTCACAGAGCAATGGATGCACGTATACACGGTGTGGCCTTGAGGGATGAAACTGCCGCGGCTAGGTCAAGCGTCGTCTTTCCTCCCTCCCTCTCTCCCTCCCTCCCTCCCTGGGTGGACATGTCATATTACATTAAACCAATTACAGCTAGCAGCAGAGGGGGGTAGGAATGCATGGCTTATCACAGTCCGATACGTCATATAACGTCAGTGATAACGCAACAGAGACATGCACTGCGCAACCTTACCGCTCGGTATTATTTATTATTAAAAGTTAAAATTTAGTATTTTCACCCAACATTTCTCTGGTAGGGAGGGAAGGTGGGGGGTGGGGGGGAGGGTTGGGACCGACCGACCATGTGGCGTGGTTGGTAGAGGGGGGGAGGCAAGTTGGGGTACTTTGATTGACAGATAGTGTCGTGAAGAATATTTTTTTTTTTTACTAACTGAAGATATTTGTTTTACCTCATAAAATTCATACAAATTACTGGACCAGAATATAATTTACATTGCTGGAATTCTTACAATATGATGATCATTTTGAATATAAACATCATGTATTTTGCATTAGACATACAAATTTTAGATCTAATGTAATAATTTGGTTTACACAAAGCAAGTATTTTATCTTTTGTGCAAAATATATGAAGTTTACATTCAAAATATTCTCTGACCTGCAAGGAATCCAGAAATGTCAATTATATTATCCTAACTTTAGTCTGAGGTATTATTTATAACTAAATGTTAAAATCTAGTGTTTCACCCAATCATTTCTCAGAGAGGTAGGGGCCAGTGAGCTGGGAAGTGGTGGGGGGGGGGGATTTGAGTCCATTATTTGAATGGACATTAACCTGGCGACTGTATTTCTCTTAAATATTAATTGTGAGAGTAATAAAATTTAGATGTTATTTTTTACTACAACATAGGTATTGTGTCGGAAAAAGTGGAGTTTGGGGGTCGGGCCAGTCTCTATTGGAATTAATCACATATGTTCTGTTGTTCACTTTACGCGGTTTTCACTTTCAGCGGTACTCTGTGGGTTCAATTGACCGCGTAAATCGGGGTACTACTGTATATGTATTTACAGTGGGGTATGCTATAACGAATCTAATTGGTTCTAGAACCTTGTTCGTTATAGCATTCATTCGTTATAGGATTAATCCGTTCCAGGCCCCCAAATATAACCACTTAACACTGACAAATATAATAAAAAATTGTAAAAAGTGCATACATATGCATCTAAACCCCTGAAATAAAGAATATCATTAATTCTTGTAATAAAAACAATAAATTAGTAAAAAAAAAAAATTATTTTTTTAAATAATGTTCGCTGTAGGAGTTCTGTCAAGTATAGCATTCCTTAATTTGTGAGAGTAGTGAAACCGTTCAAGAGTAGGAATATTCAGAGGATCCGCTCTATATATATATATATATATATATATATATATATATATATATATATATATATATATATATATATATATATATATTACACACACACCTAGACCCCGACTTACGACGGGGTTAGGGACCCAAATCCAGGTCTTAAGTCCGACATAGATAAAAAATCTACAATGAAATACAGTACAGTAAAAGTAATGAATAATGATGAATGGATACAGTACAGTGAAAGTAATAAATAATTAAGGAATGGTTACAGTGTGACTGAGCACTTACCTTTAATGTAGTCAGCTGAATGCACATGGGGCCCCCATAATTTTCTAATTATACATGGAGACTACATTAACTGGAAACGTTTCGGTATAGAAAATGCGTGGGTCATTTGAAGAAAAGAAAAGAAAAGAAAAAATGGTCACAACTGCAGCGGTCGTAAGTCCCGACGGTCGTATGTCCACGTAGTCGTAAGTCGGGGTCTAGGTGTGTATATATATATATATATATATATATATATATATATATATATATATATATATATATATATATATATATATATATATATATATATATATATATATGTATATACAGTCAACCCTCGTTAAAACGGACTAATAGGAGGGGGAAGGGTGTCCGTTTTAGCCGATTGTCCGAATTAACCGATTTAGGGGTTAAAATTGCATTATACAGCTATGTGTATGATTATTTGAGTGCCCCGTCATAGGAGTCCGTTTTCTCTCACTTCAGCACTCCTGAGTCGTCCGTTTTCTCTTAATCTTAGAGTGCACCAGAGACTGCTATATCTTAGTAGTGACACAGAATTTGATATTCCCACTGGGGTTGCAATTGTTGAGGCAACTTAGGTATGTCTGATTACAGTTGGAATATTCAAGATCCATTGCGAGTGATGTTTAAAGCTTCAACTGTCTTTATGGTTGGTAAAACTTGTCAAGTCTGTCAGTCTGAATGGCATGTGTGAGGCCTTGTGTTTGTACAACCGCTAAATATATAAATATATAATGTTATGATAATTATCAGAAACACATATGCATAACGAGGTTTATTACAAAGTGATGAAAAGGATACTGTACAGTGGCTAGTCCACAAAACATGTAGCCATGTCTCTTTATTTGAGTGCCCCGTCATAGGAGTCCGTTTTCTCTCACTTGAGGACGCCTGAGTCGTCCGTTTTCTCTTAATCTTAGAATGCACCAGGGACTTTGTTATTTCTTAGTAGTGACACAGAATTTGAAATTGCAACCCCAATTGCAACTGGGACAATCCCAGAACCAGAAGTTTGATATGGACAGTTCAGATTTCGTCCGATTTATCCAAAATCCGGATTAAAGGGGTCCGAATTAATGAGGGTCGACTGTATATATATATATATATATATATATATATATATATATATATATATATATATATATATATATATATATATATATATATATATATATATATATATATATATATATATATATATATATATATATATATATATATATATATATATATATATATATATATATATATATATATATATATATATATATATATATATATATATATATATATATATATATATATCAAGGTTTTACCTATTATAAATCTAACTGGATTTTACATTTACAGGGCTATCGGTTGGACTTTAATTATTTTAGTCAGCGTTGGCAGGGATCTGCAGCCACTATTGTAGAAGATCCAGGCAACCACTTGTATGGTGTGCTCTGGGAAATTGGCAATGAAGACATGGCTAAGTTGGACATGTAAGTAAACTGACAATTGAAAGAACAACAATGTCCTTAACACAGATTTCTCCACTGGACTGTTATCTGTGGTATAGGGTTCAAATGTAGAAATGTTTTAATTAATACACTATATACAGTACAGTACAGCCACAAACTTAACTGCACACTTGATCATTAGTAACGGGTTTGTATCTAACTCTGTGATTCATGATTTAGACTGTAGAGGACAATATGTTTCCTAGTGTGTACCATATACAGTATTGGTTTATAGCAAAGCTATTATATTAACAGCTATTTATTGCTTACTGAGTTAAATCTTCTCAGCCATGCCCTAATATTATTTACCTTTCCTTTACCAGCCCTCTGTATCTCATTTGTGTCTGTGTTTGTGTGTGCACATGCTTGTTTGCCTGCACACAAGTGATATATATCTATGCAGAATTACCAGTACTTGTTCAGCAGCTAGTTTGCACATAGATAGCAAAAAAAAATAAAGAGATACTGTATATGTCAAGGTAATACCACCTCACCTTTACGCTTATGATTGTGTGTCAATTCAACCCAGGACTTTTCTATTCCATGTGACCAATCTTGTAATATTGATGACATTGCACACTTGTCTTTCTCGGCAAGTATGGAATTCTGAAGGCCCCAAGAAGAGCTCATTGACATGCTCCCCCTCACTGGTCAAATGAGGGATAAAGATATTTTTTCATCAATTATTATATCACTTGTTCAAAAACAAATGAAATACAAACCAGCCACATTATTTCTGTTGTTACTGATTGTATGTCCCATACAAGAGTTTTGTTTCTCTATTTAAAGAAAATAAGAACGGGATCATTATGTGATGTCATGTGATTGAGGTTTACAAGTATCTCAGAGGGCACTACTCAGTCGAGTGTCCATACCTGGAGCTGGCAGATGCCCTCTCCACAAGGGGTCATAGCTCAAGGTTGAAGAAGCTACAAATCCAGAAATTTGTGAGGGCAAACTTTTTCAGGTGAGAATTGTGAACTCTTGGAACAACCTGCCAGAGAGTGTTGTGATGGCACCGAGTGTGAGCTGTTTCAAGACCAGACTTGACCAGCACTGGAGCAGGTTCAGACACATTCAGGTGCCAGTGCATGCCCAGTACTTGCCAACAGTGCATAACATAGACATGACTAACCACCCAAGTGGCTAACGAGCCAATCAGTGGCAAAGAGGATAAAGGTAAAAGTAAAAGGTGTACTGTACTGTGTTCACAGTCTTTTCCACCAGAGTTCACACAAATGATGACCTTTGGAGTGAAAATTGTCAACAAATTAATGGCAAAGGGCTTAAACCTCCAACAGTTTCCCCGAGTTTCTGGAAGTCGTTAATTGTCAGTACAGTACTGTACAGTACAGTATGTACTGTTTTCAGACCTCCTTCACAACACAGTCTGACAGCTTAGTAGGAGTTGGCTGCTTGAACGTCTTACAACTCTATATGGAAGTAGAAGAGTTTTACACTGTTTCAATTTACATTTAGTTACACTGTGGCTCCAGAAGCATTGCTTTTTTTTTTTTACCATTTTGAAGATTTTAGCCCTTCTTGGACTTGGGGTTGCTGACCCAGCTCTAGAATTAGAATGTTATTGTTTACTTAAACACATTATTATTACTTTTAATTATTTAAAAAAGAATTATTGTAAATACAAAAGCTGGATATATAACTACCGATGATGATAACCAGTGGTGATTAGCACCCGTACTGCGGGCACCAAGTCTTCAGAGCTAAGCAGTAACTATTTCTGAATTCTTACAAGCGTTTCTGTCTATTAAGGTTGTACTTGCAACATATCTTTAAATACCTGATGCAAATGAAGATTTGAAGATAATTTTCTTTTCACATTTACATCTGTGAACATCATTGGCGGCATTGTTGCCAAGTTAGTCTGTGAGGTGTTATGATTATTTTTCAACTAATTTTTGGGTAGATACATTAAAACCCCTATAATTTTAAGTAATAGGGGCTTTAGCCCTTACGAAATATGAGATTTTACGAATTATAAAGGACGCCTTCTCTCGAGTGAAAAACAAACAAAACAATGGTACTTTTCCATTATCTACCCCAATGAAAATTAAATGTTTCTAAGTTCTGTTGAGATTAATATTGATATTTAAACAGTTTATTTAACCATAAAAATACAGGTACAGAGTGGACAATAATATCCGGTAACAATATTGACATGGTTGAGCCATAAAGGCTCAAACACTGGGCAACAATGTTAAGACAAATGGAAGAAACTTGTGCAGTAGACCATAGACCCTGACTGACTGTCTGATAGGTCTAACACAGATCATACATATTCGTAATTATCTCGTAATTCAAATTTTTAACAAATATTATGAAAATTGTAATACAGTGACCCCTCCGTTAACGAACTCAATCCGTTCCAGAAGGTCGTTCGTTAACCGAAACCATTGTTTCAATAGGTTTTTGGGTAATTGATTCCAGCTCACCGAAAATTTCCTAAATTCAACAAAAATGGTAGAAAAGTTCACTTACTTTGAGGTGTGTATGTAGAAGGCTCCTGGATGATGATGATGATGGGATTTAGAATGGGGGTGGAGGAGAAGGAAGAAGAGAAGGCATTGGGGTGGAAGAAGTCACCCCATGGCGCCATTTCACCCATAAAATTTTAGCTCTCTTGGTGTAATTCAAGATTATTTTCTTTAAATCAACACTGCACTTTATTATATATTGTCAATATGTAAAATATATTTCAAAATGACCAATAATTTGCTTGGAAACACAGAAAAAAAGCGTTTAGTTGAAGAGAGTCTCAAGCAAGATGTTACCTCCAGTGAAAACAGAGAGAGACTAACTCCTGTTTGTTGTGTTAAGAGGCTGGATGCCGCGCATTAAACTAGTCACTTTACCTTCAATTATGTTCAATAATTGTTAAAATGACAAAAAAATTGAATATTAAACTTTTAAAATTATTGAATAGTATAAACTTCTTGATATTTACTAAAATAGTAAGGAATTTAAGCCCTAGAACCGATTAATGTATTGGCGGACTGATAATAAAGCTGGTTGCCCAGTCAGTGCAAGCGAAAACATGTTGAGGTCGGTTCGTAAGAACTTCGTTAACCGAATTATTTTTCGTTAAACGAATTGAAGATCCTTATGGAAGGCAGTTCGTTAATCGAAATTACGTTAACCGAGGTGTTCGTTAAATGAGGGGTCACTGTATATATATATATATATATATATATATATATATATATATATATATATATATATATATATATACTATATATATATATATATATATATATATCTTGATAAAATCCTGCGGAAAATGGAAACAACGGAATTACCTTAGCTTCGTCTTTTATTCAAGACATCTTCCGAGGCAACTCCGTTGTTTCCATTTTTCCTAATGACCTATCAAGACTATGTATCCACGTTTTCATTGTGGTTACATGAAATATATATATATATATATATATATATATATATATATATATATATATATATATATATATATATATACTATATATACTATATATATACAGTATATATATATATATATATATATATATATATATATATATATATATATATATATATATATATATATATATATATATATATATATATATATATATATATATATATATTTATTTATTTATTTATTTATTATAATATTTCAAAATTTCTCTCACATTTTGAATTTTACCAAATACTGTACAGGTATCCATCATTTTGTGATTGGTAATGCGTTCCTGAAAAACAGATTACTAAGTGAAATATTTGCTTAGCGAAGAAAACAAAAAATAGTATCCTAAATAAGGGATAATGAGGAATAATATCTGTGGGATGGCACGTAATTGTGTTGGGGAGTCGCCAACTGACCGACTCAACATCCATTAGCATTCAGAGCAGGTGAGGCTGAGCTGTGAGGTATGTTATTGTTCACCTCGTAATTTTGGGTATACAGTATTACCCCGCTTAACGCGCTTTCACTTAACGCGTTTTCGCATATACGCGGTGCCTTGCCAAAGCTGAACTTTCACTTAACGCGGCATTTTTCATCATATACGCGGTGAGTGTCCGGCTCGAGAGCTATTTTTAGATTCGCACCACCCCCCACCCGCCACCTTGCCTGACTGCCTGTTTTAGCTCATAAAATTCATACAAATTACCCAGCCAGAATATAATTTACATTGCTGGAATTCTTATAATTTGGTGATCATTTTGAATATAAACAACATATATTTTGCATTAAACATACAATTTTTAGATAAAAATTGTTCTCTAGGTAATTATGTTATCTTTTGTCCAAAATATATGACATTTATATTCAAAATATTCCTGGTCTTACAAGGAATCCAGCAATGTCAATTATATTATCCTAACTTTAGTTTGAGGTATTATTTATTAAAATTTAGTGGTTATCCCACACATCTCCTTGGGACGGTTGGTGGGGGGGGAGGGAGAGGGAGGGACCGACCGACCGACCATCTGTTACCTGGTGAAGAATTATTTTTTTTTTTAACTGAAGATATTTGTTTTAGCTCATAAAATTCATACAAATTACCCGGTCAGAATATAATTTACATTGCTGGAATTCTTATAATTTGGTGATCATTTTGAATATAAACAACATATTTTTTGCATTAAACATACAATTTTTAGATAAAATGTTTAATCTGAGTAAGTATGTTATCTTTTGTCCAAATATATGACATTTATATTCAAAATATTCCTGGTCTTACAAGGAATCCAGCAATGTCAATTATATTATCCTAACTTTAATCTGAGGTATTATTTAATACTAAATGTTAAAAACTCTTGAATGGAGGATTGGTGGGGGGTGGGGGGAGGGTTGGGACTGACCGCACGGTTGGAAGAGGGGGGGAAGGCAAGGTGGGGTACTTTGATTGACAGATAGTGTTGAAGAATATATTTTTTTTTTTATTAACTGTAGATATTTGTTTTAGCTCATAAAATTCATACAAATTATCCGGCCAGAATATAATTTACATTGCTGGAATTCTTACAATTTGCTGATCATTTTGAATATAAACATCATAGATTTTGCATTAGACATACAAATTTTAGATGTAAAGTTTATTCTGAGTAAATATGTTATCTTTTGTGAAAAATATATGACATTTATATTCAAAATATTCCTGGTCTTACAAGGAATCCAGCAATGTCAATTATATTATCCTAACTTTAGTTTGAGGAATTATTTATTACTATACCTGGTTTTCCCCCAAAAATTTCTCAGAGGGAAGAAATCAGTGTCAGTTAATTTCAGTAATTGTGTGCATGTACCATCATAAAATTAAGATGTTATTTTTACTACAACATAGTTATTTGTCGTCAAAAAGTGGAGTTTTGGGGTCGGGCTGGGTTCTATTGGAATTAATCCCATATGTTCTGTTATTCACTTAACGCGGTTTTCACTTAACGCGGGACCCTCTGGGTTCAATTGACCGCGTTAAGTGGGGTACAACTGTATATACGCAATTTTCTTCATTTCCTTTTACTCTTTTATATGCATACGCAATCACTCATACAGAAAGTGCCAAAAAATAAATAAATTATAAGATAAAAACTACGGAGGGAATAAACAGCTCTTACGTGGTTGGCAGTTAGCTGACAGAGCATGTGAGGGAGACCATGTTGGGAACAGCGTGAACATAAGAAGAACATAAGAAAATAAGGAGTCTGCAATAGGCCGGTTGGCCTGTGCATGGAGACATCTCAGGT